ACCACCCCCCATGGGCAGCCCCTTCCAATGCCTGACAGCCCTTTCTGGGAAGACATTTTCCCTAATACCCAATCTAAACCTTTCCAGCCCCTCATCCCCAAGCCTGTAGCACTGCAGAGGGTTGTTGTGACCCAAGTGCAGGACCCGGCACTTGGCATGTTGAACCTCACACAGCAGCCTCGGCCAATCGATCCAGCTTGTCCAGATCCCTCTGTAGAGTCTTTCTGCCCTTTATCTGGGGTGTTGTCCCTGGAGGTTTCTACAACAGGGGTAGACTATCTGAGCTGCCTACCCAGGATCTCCCACTATGCAATCCCACTGACAACTGCAGCCGCCTCTGTCAGGAGGGGATGAAGTGCTGTAACCTCTGTTGACTGCATCTCCATCAGCTATGGAAGAAGCCGAGGATGACACGCCTACAAGTAGCCTGGTACTATGGGAGACAGCCTTGGGGTGTCCTGCCTGCCTGCTGCTCCAGAAGCCACACACCCCACGTCTACCAGCCCCATGCATCTGTCTCGGATACCTGAGATCATCTCAGATGCCTTTGTTAAGGTCTGTGTCATCTTACAGTTTCTTGTGCAGTGGGAGTAGTGCAAGGAGCGTTGCAGCCTCCTGCCACCCCAAATCCTTTTTGAAGAAATGCATCTCCAACCCTGGATTTCTAATTGATCCTTAAATGGTGACAAAGAGAATTAAAACAAGACATCCTGCTCACAGCCTGTTTGCTTTTGGGACTTTTGCAGAAAAGATGAGGGTTATTTATCTTCCAGACACATTCTGGAGGCTCCAGGAGAGAATTAATTTCGAAGCCATCTGTTTCTCTTGCATTCTCTCCCCTATTTATTAAATGTAAAGGTTTTCTAAACATTTTTATGCCCAATCTTGAGGTCAAATCTGATTTAACATGATTTCATATATCATCCTTTAATGGAGAACAGGCCTGTGGAGCAGGAGGGGAAAGAAACATCCTTCAAGACGACACCCATTTACCTCCTAATGCCTGCTAACATGCTCCAAACATGACTTGAATGAAACCAGTGAAGATGGCCTTGCATTAAGACCTGGGCCCATTTAGTGATGCTGACAGGAGGAGGAGCTGGAAGGCCAAGGTGGGGGAGATGTTTTTTTGAGTGGCTTCTGTATTGCAGGTAGCTGGAAATTGGGTCAAGAACAATGTTTTCCAGAGGTATATAATGTCGGGCTTCAGTGTCATCACGGTTTTCATTCAGAGCCAGGTGGGAGCTGAACCCACAATCCCACCCAAGTCTGGAAGGCTCTGTGGAGCCCTCATTCCCAGTGTGACTGCTTCCCCTAAATGCTACCAGACAAAACGCCAAAGGGGACCCTAGGCTGTGCCTCACCAGGATGCTTCTGAACTCACACGGCTCTATAAATCTCCAGAGGTCTAGAGAAGACGTATTAATAGTGCTCAGCAAGCTCCTGAACACCACATGGGCAGCCATAATACTGCTTAGACAGAAGTTGGCGGCCAAGCCCCCCGGTGCAAAGATGAATATTCTACCTAGCTGCTTAGACTCTTTAGAGGTTGTAGACTCAAGAGTTTAGCCACAAAATCTCCTTAGTCATCTAGAGCTTATTTCCTATGCATGCCCAGACAGCCTTTACTAAGCTGTCAGCCATACTTAAGGATCTTCTACAGTCAGCATTCGGGGTGCTGTCAATCTGTTTTGCCAACTCTACAATCCCAGTCTCCACCTACGAACTCATCGTCCCTTTTGCAGTCACTGAAGATCGGGTCATTGCAGTTGATGGTGCTTCAGGCACAATTTGGTTCATCCGAAAACCCATGTCTACACTTTGACTGTTGGTTCGTGCCTTGAATTTCACTAATTGCATTGACTCGATCTCCACCGATGACAACAGGGACTTAAACACCCAGTTGTCATGGAGACAACTACGTTGGAAAGTCATGAAACGAGACAAGGTGTTCACATCCCGAATTGACAGGAGGTGTTTAGGGTAGGCAAAGGAGAAGACCACAAAAGGGCCTCCCAACCCAAGAAATCAAAGTTCTCATCTTCTCCTCCCAACCCAAGAAATCAAAGTTCTCATCTTCTGGTACCTGGTGTAAGAGTGGGTGTGGTGGGTGCCTCTGGGACCTTGTTGCTGCTGCCACTAGTGGTGGTGGTGTCAGATCCTTCTAAAGTGGAAACAGTGCTGATGCTTCCAGGGCTGGTGGAAGAGGCCAATCTCTGGACTGGAGAACTGGGAGAAGTGTGAGGCTGCTTGGTGACAGCTGTAGGAGAAGAGACACCATAGCCACTGAGCCCAGGGGAAAGGCTGCTCGTGGGGACTCTGGGGCTTGCTGCAGTGCTGTTCAACTTGTCAGAAGACTGGCTTGTCTGAGCTTTCACGCTGGGAGAGTGTGTGACATTAGTCCCCAAATGTCGTGTGGTGCCTGGAGAGCTGCTGGCATGAGTGGGGCTGGGTTTTACAGTAGTGGTGGCTGCCAAGCTTCCTGAACTGTCTGGAGGGCCGATCTTCTGCTGGGCCGTGCTGGAGGTTTTAGCAGGGGTAGCTGTTGAGGCTGCAGAGCTGGCTGAAGAGTTCACCTGCTGAGACAGGTGGGACGATGTTGTGGAGGCAGGTGGTGATGTTCCCAGGTTCTTCGTGGTGGCGTTCCTTTGAACTGCGTCAGGTGATGTCGCAGGTCCGGATTGTGGGTTTCCCTGTTTGCTTGCAGTGGTGGTCCCTACAGCTGTGGTGGATGGTATCACAGGGTTGGACGATGAGTTTACTGGCTTGCTTGTAGGGCTGGCCCCTGCAACTTCGGCAGGTGGCATCGCTGAGGTGGATGATGAGTTTCCTGGATTGCTTTTAGGGGTGGTTGCTTCCATCTGGCTGGCAGTGAGGTTGATCTGCCCATTTTTTTCTGGGCTTGCAGAAGTTGTCGTAACATCCTGAAAGCTGACACCTAGGAAAAAGTAAAAACACCATGATAAACTTTAAACTAAGGAAACGACCTTGGTTTCCACCCAGAATAGGTATTTGTAGAAATAAATGCTGATCATAAACCCTGCGTCATTGTCTCGGGGCTTGTCTCATGCTCTCTAAACTCATCCCAAATCCCACATTCTGCTATCACAGTGTCAAGCAGAAAGCAGAGCAGCAGCAGCAGAGAAGTCGAACTCACAGGACTTCAAACAAGTTGGAGGATGAGCAGGAGGGCAAGACTTGGTGGTTCCCAAAAAAGCAGGTCTCCCCCAGGTGGGAGGTCCACCAGATTCCATGCAGAGCTCTGCAAGTCATTCCCAAAATAAGGCACATCCAGCTCTTGTAAAGGAGCAGCCAAGGGATGTGTCAAATGCTGTTTGTCCAAACCCGTTATGAGGGTCTCTCACATCCCTGAAGCAGTGAGGAGCCTCAGATAACTAAGGTGACACTTCTGACCATTCTGAAAGTTACATTCTTTTTGCAAGCTCAAGCTTTGTTTCTTAAATTGCACATGTTTCAGCTTAGGTGGTTTTTTTCCCCCTCCCAAACTCAGGTAATCACTATAAAAACATCATAAAATAGGCACTCTGACTTGAATCCACCGAGTCAAACCACTGAGAGTGGGGAGGCACTGGAACAGGTTGCCCAGAGAAGCTGTGGATGCCCCATCCCTGGAAGTGTCCAAGGCCAGGCTGGATGAGGCTTGGAGCAACCTGGTCTAGTGGAAGGTGTCCCTGCCCATGGCAGGGAGGTTGGAACTGGATGATCTTTAAGGTCCCTTCCCACCCAAACCAGTCTGTGATTCTGTGATCTGCAGTAAAAGTGCTTTTATGGACACAGGTCATATTTCCTATAGACCTGCAACTGTCTGCAGGAGAAGAGGAGGTAAGGAAGCAAAACACAGGTGCAGGCACCCAGCAGATGAAACCCAGGTGCAAAAGACAGGAGGGAGTTTTCATCCAGTTAGCCACAAAATGGGTCTATCCCATAAATAGGACTGTAAAATTTTGACAGGGGTTTTGACAGCAAGGGAGGTAAGAAAAAAATAACCTAAACCTTAAAGGTAGAAACAATACAAAAGAGACGTAAATAAAGAAAGGGTTGGAAGGAAGGTGGAGGAAATCCCACACTGGTCTCGCTTCCTTTTCGTGCCCCGCCCCACCCCAGAGAGGCAGGAAGCAAACATGCACCTAAGGAGAGGTAGAAAAGACAATTCAATTCAACTCGGTCCAAAAGAGAAAGGGGCAGGCCCATGCCGGGGCCAGCCTCGGTGGCCAGTCAGGACCTTACGAGGCAAGAAACCGGCATCCCAGCCCCAGTGCTTCCCCATCCCACCCCAGGGAGCTGCAGCTATGTTTTTACCACTTTTAGCAAAAACTGGGGAAAAAGACCAAAGCCTGGGGTTGTTCTGCTGCTGGAGAAAGCTGGTGTGATGCTCCAGGCTTGTCCTGGCTGGCATGGTAGTGGAGCCTCTTTCAAGGGACACAGGGTGACACAGCCCAAAAAAGCATCTGGGAGAAGAACCGAGACTCAAATTGATGACCACAAAGCTTACTAGTATTTTATCTTTCCATACCCCTGCATCCACTCTGAGTGCTCCTCCCCTGCTAAGGTCAAGAGATGTGAAAAGATCAATTTATTCTTCTTCATTATGCCAGGTCCAGTGATTTATGTGGGTTCAAAACAACTTGAGGAATCAGCACACTCCTGCTTGGAAGTGGTGAGCCACCATGCAGGGGGATGGATGGATGGATGGATGGATGGAGAGATGGATGGATGGATGGATTCAACAGGTGCTGGCCACACGGGCAGGTAGGACAGTATCCATCCTACTACATGGGCCTGGCTGATGTCAGGCAATGCTAAGTGCCACAGGGGTAGAAATCACTCTCCTTTGGTGGGTAATGACCTGCGTCCCTTTGGCAAGTGGCAACATAAATGATATATGAGTCAGGAAACACTTCACCACACCATTCCGTCCCTACAAACACGCTCCTGGTGTATTGGGCTGAATGGGACCCTTGGGAAGCCCCTTCCAAAAGATCTCCCATCCCAAATTTGATCTGAAGGTGTCATTTCTGTAATAACCTCCACCCCAGCTCAACGGGGCTGCTACCAAATTTTCCCTTTCCCCCTTTCTTCTTCCACGGCTTGCTTGTGTCAAAGCAGACTGTTTTGAATAATTGCTGTTGCTGGCTGAAATCCATGGCTGTGGCAAACATCAGCCACAGCGATGGCCACGGGAAGAGGGAAATCCAGGCAGGTTGCAGACTTGACACTCCTCAAGACAACTTGCACCATGGTGGGCTGGACCCACAACATGCCAGTGGAAAGCAGCCATGGCTATGGCTGGGTAAATCCTCCTTCTGTGGAGAATCGGCATCCCATCCATCCCCACACCTCTTCCACAGATTTTTGGGCACCCATCTGTCAGCAACATTTCCCTCCTCTCTCCAGTTGCATTAAATTAAACTGTTTTCTCACTGCTGTTGCACAAGGAGCCAGACGCTGCTGCAGTCGTGGGGCTGCACATCCTTCTGCAGCTTTATTGCTCTGGGATTACTATTAGTTGTTTGTCCAGGGACAGTCTCACGGCAGCACTGGGAAAAAGCGTATGTTATTTAGACTGGGCAAACCCAAATTGCATTTTTTTGGTGTCTTGCAGGTTCACCGCCCGCAGAACACCTGGCTTATGCAAACTCATTGCTCTCCTTTTCAGAAGCCTGGCAAATAACGCCAAAGCAGAAACAAACGCAGAACAAGCAGCGAGAGCCCCGCAAGCCCAGGAGTCACCGTTTTGCTTCCACACGTGCTATATCTCTTTCAAACGCCAGAGAACGGTTTTTTTATCTCTTCCTCCCTAACTTGCCAAATCTTGGTGGCAGACCTGGGGCTAATAACTGGTAATGAGCCCCTGTTTGCCTGGGCTGAGAGCCAATATTGCCTGATGACTGTCCTCAATGGAAGAAACAAAAAGGATCTGCTCGAAGGAGGAGAAACCCCTGTAACCACAGACTGGTGGTAGTAACAGCCAGACAGGACAGGATTATGTTCGGTGCCCCCTTAGCATGAAAATTACTCACAAAAGATACAGTATGTCCTTTTGCAGGAAACAAATGACCCTTTCACACTGTGAGCCCCGGAGATAAAAGGATTTGATGCACGCCAGGAGAGAAGGAGGATGGAGGAGAGGTTCTCTAAGCTATCCCTGTCCCTACCAGGAGGAGATGCTCTCCAAAAGAAAATTCACTTCAATTTCAGCTGGAGTCCTTCACCATGTTTTCCAGAAGGCAGAAAAAACTACCTGCCCTCAACCTTCCTGGCTGCGTTTTGGCAGGGCAATGCCCCTTACTTGATTTCACTGTTTGGGCCATCAGCAATTCCCCATTTTAAGGAAAATGTAGCAGCTACCAGTGTGTTTTGAGCACACAGGTTGCAGTGCATCTAATGCTTTGGTCTGCACCTCTCCTCTCACACGTATGGCTCAGAAAACCCCAAACCCTTGCAATTCTGTGCAGGAGGCGAGTGCAAGCCCTCCACGCATCCGTGGGCACAGCGGCCAAACACATCCCGGAGGAAATGAGTCTGCTGCAAAAACATGATTTCATTTCCGGATATGTGTATCCCATGACTGTGCCTGCGATACGGTGTCTCCGCGATGGGGACAACCCCGGAGGGGAGAGAACTTTTTCTTATTGCTAGTTATCAAGATGGGCTTGTTCAGCCCCCGGTGAGCAATATTTGGGAGGTTGGAAGTGACACTGTCCATCCCTACTGCTGCAGGCGCTCCTGGGCAGGGCTGGTGTGGGAGTGCTGCGGTCAGGAGCTGCTGGGATGTGAAAACCCACCCAAAATGCAAAAGGAGAGATGTGGTGGTTTGTGCTAAAGGAGCTCCATGCAACATCAGTTGAGGGCCACGATTTTCGGCCGCTGTGCGTCGCCATGGACTGGTTGTAACCTCATTGCAGTAGGTATTGTGGTATTTTGCAGGCTGGGGAAGATGCTCAGGGGGAGTAGCTTGTTTGGAAAGGACATAGCTTTGAGCAGAAAAAAGAGAAGCAAGTCACTGCAAAATGCAAAGCAAAAGGACATGTCCCGTCCTTCCTCCATCAGCCCATCCGGAGCCACCACCTCTTTACGCAGCTCCTCTGATTAATGCCCTGCCCAACAGCTTCCCACTTCCTATTTCAGTAACGCCTCCTTCCCGCCCCTCCCCACCTTGTTGAAACAGCTCAGATATTGGCTGAAAATCTATTAATAGTGAGAAAAGGAAACCCAAAAGAATAACTTAGGAAACAGTGGGTGACACACCCCAGGCCGGCGGGCTGAGCCCTGCTTGGAGCCTTACGCCAGCCGCCTCCTGCTCCTCCCAAGGCGGGATGAGAAATCTAAGGAGCCTGAGCAACCCAGGGAAGGGGAAGGGATGTGAGCCAGGCCTGAGGAAGTTTGTATTTGCCTCCCCTTTTGCAGCCTTTCCTGATTAAACAGGGGCAACGGGTTGAGTTTGTCGAAGAAAAAGCAGGGGCTGAGGCTTCAGGGGTGGCCTTTGCTGGGGCAAAGCCTGTGCCCCAGCCAGTGAGAAGGGTCCTGGTCTTTCCTCTGCATCACAAGAGGCTCCTGGGCAGAAGGAGGGTTTTATCCACCAGCTGCAACGCAGCCATGTCTGAGCTGGAGCGGAGACCAGTTGCTGCAGAGGACAGGAAATCTGTCACCTCCTTTTAAAACTGTGAGAGCGATCAGATTGGCAGAATATCACAGGACAGCATTATTTATCCTGGAATTAAGCTGGGCTACCAGAGCAAATAGTTACCTCACAGGCTTTTACATTTTGCCTGTGTAGAGGCTCTCTCCCATTGGCTGAGGGAAAGACTGGCTCCAACCCTCCTCCCTCGCTGGTGAGGAA